TCAAATGAAAATGAAAGGGGCTGTCGTGTGGTTACAACGATTGTTTTATACGCAGAGTGGCTGACGAGATGTGCAGGTCATCCCTTTTTGTGCAACGACATACCACAGTTCTTTATCTATTTGTTAACCCTCTGGACTCCTTTGTCGAATGTGTCTCGACATCAGTTTTATTCTGGATGAGCAATGAGGTACACATGTATACGACCCTTAATTCTATTTTCAATATAATTAGTAAAAAAAATTGTTTCAATTGGTCCCTATCGACCAAATGTCTTTTGAAGTGCATTTCGGATAAAATTCTCAAAATAATAGGGAATTGTTGAAAAGAAAATTTAGAAAAAAATTTGGAGTTGGGTTAACAGCACTCCTAAGACGAACGAAAAGACCTGTAACACAAGGTCAGGCCAGGTTTACAGATACACATGTGCCACAGTAAATTCTGACTTCGTTGAAAGAGCAATTCTATAATCTTAACTCGTGCGTTGAAAGCCTCTGCGTTCATCTTAAGGGCTGTTATTAGCAAAAGAAGAAAAGAACATGACACGTCGTTGAAAAAAATAGGAATGACCTTAGTATCTCATTAGCGACTCCGTTCATAAAAAAGAGCCTGACTGTATGATGGCTCTTTTCACAGCAAAAAACTTTCGTTCGAAAAAGGATCCTCTTACTTTCGTGATTTCAGAGATATCGAAGGTGGGAATTCTCATTTTCCTACTCTGTGTATAAAAGGAATTTTGTCGTAAATTTCTCGTAGTAAAATAATCGTTAAATCCTCGTTCGTCTATTATAATACGAGTAATACCTTTGAAAGGACACATTTATTAAATTACCTCCTTAAATTATTGATACTTTAAAGCTTCGTTTGGCACGTGTGATTAGAATGTTATTTAATAAGAAAGTGTTAGAACGTTACTTAACACGAAAGAATCGATAGAACGCTTCTCTCATCCACTTTTGTTGCCATTATATTTATGACACATTCTCTATTTATAGTAGCGCTTGTTTTGGTTCTCCATGCCTAATTACACTTACAACACCCATTTACAACTGGACTACCATTTAAAATGTACATCGAGTGCGTTGTTCCTCGAATAAAACGCACGAAAAATGCCTGTGTCTTAACTTTTCCTTAGGATTCGAATAGATTTCGTTTTTTTTTTTTCTTTTTGTGCGGTGTAGCTTTGTAGGATGTTCGCGAAACGCAGTCAGTTTTGTCGAACGTTGTTTCCCGTTGAATCAGACCAATCGTTGTCTCGAGAAAGAAAAATTCTTCTTTTCCGTTTGTTTTAACTGTGTCGACGATTTTTCACGACTAAATACAGTAAATATTCGTAAAATATTTGTCTCTTTCATTTATCTGTTGTTTTAACTAAGAATCAATTCAAGATCCTACTCGATTGCATTGCACACGCAAAAATAATGAAATCGTTCAATTATAGTCGATGGAAGACATATAAGCGTGAAAGTAAAACGAGACAGGGGTGAAAGAACGTGAAATCCGATCACCGAAACAACAGTCGGACGAGACAAGGGGCTCGACCCTTGTCCAGGACCGTACGAAGTCAACGCGGCACCGTTTGTTCAATTACCGTATGCTAAACAAAATTTTAAATAATATACAGTTTGGAAAACTTTACATTTCGAAATGTATCATTTACTATAAACGAACTCCCAGATCAACGCGAAATATTCGCAGGGGAAACGAAATAGCGGTACCAAAATTCGCCTGCCTCTTCACACTAAAGTACGAAATTTTCGTCTGCCGCAGCGAATATTTTACGCTGGTCTGTCTGCCGGATTCAGTGTTTTTCCTTTCTACGTTTGTCATTATTTATGCGTCACCGAATTTAGAGCGGCAGCGAAGAAAACGCCTCGAAGAGCGAAATTAAACTCACCGCGAAAAAAATCGCTACAACCTCCCAGTTTTAGCGGAAATTTTTCGCGTTGGTATGAACACACGCTTAAGCTGTCAGGTATAGTGTATTGCTGCGAATCTATTGCCAAGAAATATTCCACGTTGGTCTTAGAAAAAGAATCGGAATCCTAAATGAGAAAAACAAAAGAAGGTAGACGCCACGCCACTGTTCGCCCGCTAAAAGTGTCAGCCCTTCGAGTAATTCACGTCTTTCACTCGACGCGTGTGACTCGAGAGTTGGTGGTGGGGGGTAGGGCGGGGCTTCTTGTAAGACGCGGACGGCCCTGCGCGCGGCTAGCTCAGTCGATGCTTTCCCTTTACGACCGCGCTACATCTCTTTCAACGACTATACGATTTTGTCGAATTGATCGTCTGGAATACCTGAACGACAAGATTAGGTGATTTTTGTTCGCAGAAACGTTATCCACAGAAACTGACTTTGCTTCGCGAAGTATAGAAAAAAAAAAAAGAAACTCGATTCGCGACAAGTTTTTTTTTTTTATGCCACTTGTTCCATCGCACGATCCAACAACCACAGAAATCGAGTCACGAATTTGGCACTGTCGTGTGCGTGCCGGTTATCCTCCCCTTTTTTTTTTCTTTTGACATTTCTTTGTACGGTTCAGAAATATATTTATTAAAAGATTATTTTTCATGGCAGTATTCACATTGCGTTGCCTCAAATATGGAAATCCGAGCGTTTCTAATTGCTTTCCATTTCTTTCCTTTTTTTTATTTTTGTAACACCTTTCGATTTCCGACGACTTGGAATAAAAGTTCCTCCTTACCCTCTGAGTGCCATTCTGACATCTTTCTTAATCATTCGGTTGATTCAACGATCTAAATTTCAATTACGCTCCTTCGTTTTTTCCTTTCTTTTCTTCTTCAATGGAAATTACAATGAAAATGAAATCGATGCAACATACGTCTACACTACTCGCTCGTTTACCTGAAACGGATAGAGGACAAGTATTCAAATCGGAAAAAAGAGATTGGTAATACACGTGTGAAATGCAAACGCCGCGCACAAACCGTGATTCGTGAAGTTTATTGAAACGAGTAGTTGCAATCACCCTGTTTTCCTCTAATCTAATATCTAAGTTGTGAAACGAAACTTTCGAGCAGAACGTCTTTATATTTATATATACTCGAGCTGCTTTCAGATTTGTACGAATATTGTATTACAAATCACTCTGTGTTTTGTTTTTTTTTTTGTTTCTTTCTTCAAAAGTACATTTATCCTCGAAATATTTTTCCACTACTTCAAGTCGTTTGCTTGTTTACAAGAAATCAAATCTTTACGAAGCAGTTCACTGTTTACGTTGAACGAAGTTACCTACTTAAACCTTTCGCTGCGGCAGATTTTAGTATAGATAGTATATAGACGGTAGTTGTTCAGTCGCGGCCGCAAAGTTTCTCCGTTTTGGCGTTCGAAATTAGAAAAAAAAAAAGAAAATTACGGTGGAAGTACGCAAAGGAGGAAAAATTAAGGATTAAATTCGCGCCAACGACGCAGTGAGAGCAAAATATTCGAAACGCCCATAGGCGCCAAGGGCACAGTGCGAGCCTATTTTCAAAGCGCCTATAGGTGCCAATAGCAGTGAAAGAGATAAAAAAAAAAAGTGGAATATGACTTTATAAAAGAGGAACGTGTATACCTCTGTAGAAAGGCAGCCATCTAAAGCAAGAGTGTAAAATATCCCTGCTATTTTTAATTATACAATAAAGAGAAGAATATCTAAGGCAGAAAATGTTCGTTATCGTTGCGGTACTTCAAATAACCTTGAAGGATAAAAATTACATTTAAAAAAAAATTGAAAATGTAGAAAGTGTAGAAACTGTCATCGATAAGTAACTAACAAGGGAACTTAGGTATATAGTAGTTTTCAAAAATCACATTCGACTGGTATTTTTTATATCGGCTTATTCACAGAGAAGGGGTGAAAATCGCCCTCAAAGTTGGATGTAGAAAATATACTTAGTCTAACATCTCGGAAGCTGTTAGATATAGAAGATTAGTATAAATGTAAGAATTTTGTATTTTTCAACGACAAATTTGAAAAATAAAGGATTCTAAATAATTTTGAATAAATATGTTTATTAACCTCATCTTTGAGAGCGATTTCCACCCCTTCAACGTGAAAGATTGCCGATAAAAAAGAAATTCGTGTGAAATATATTTTTTAATACCTACTACCGTATAACAAAGTTCTACCGACATCAGGATGTTCCCCTGTAAGTAAACTTTTACGTGTACCTCTACAATTCTGTTTGCACTATAAAATAGAATTGTGAAAATTCACATATTTTTAGATGATGAATTGATTAATAATTTGACTGAAGTTGGCACACACGTGTCAAGGTTTGTAAACCTTACGATAAATTTGATCTTTCGACTGTCTCTAACGAAACCAAACTACCGGCCAAAAGTTTCGGATTCAATGTAACACAAAAATGTCCAGAAAAAAGTTACTGACCTTAAGAATATTTCAAATCAGTCGTAGTGATGTAAATTGCTATTGATTGCTCCGCAAGATCAACTTCGAATCCATAAAGAATTAGTAGCACGATTCGATATTGATGAAAATTGGCAGGTGATCCCAAAGTTTCAGCAGTGTAAATGTAACTTCTTACACAGGGTTACTTGAAGTCCAATCTACTTCTACTTCGCATAGAATACAAAAACTTGTTCGAGCTGTTCAAAAATACAAAGGAAAAAAAAAATATATATAGAGATTTGTAATTCAAAGTTACAAGAGTATTGCAAATGTTCCTTCGAACTGATTCGCTAATTAGTGTAAGCAAAGATGGAAGTACATTTCTTTCTTGATCTCTGATCACCGTTAAAAGAGGAAATCGCAAGGAGAAGAAAGAAAAGAAAGGAGAAAGAAGGAAAACGGGCGTTGTTGGTGAATAAAACGTTCGGCGAATTCGCTGTAAATCGAAACAACTCAGTTTCCTTATTGTTGGCAAGCACGTACGGAGGAATGCTTAAAAAGGAGAAAAGTGAAAATGATAGTAGAGAAGAGAAGGTGTTACCGCCCCGTGGCGCGTAGCGGTTGCACTCGAGGCGTTTCTACTGATATCATCCCCGGTCAACCGCGGTCCTGTTTCTGTTATGCCACTTGCACTTTAGAATCCTCACGTAGGTTCGTCGGAACGCCGCGTTGCACAACGCGTAACACACTGGATTCACAGTACTGTTGATATAACAAAGATAATAGAAAAAGTCCCATAGCTCCTGCGGTATGTACCACGAGCAGGCTGTGATGGATTTTATTAGAACGAGAATATTGTACGGTGTCCAGGTGATGATGAACGCCAGCAATATGGCCGACAATGTTTTAGCGGCCTTACGGTCCGCTTTCTTCTCCTGAAGCTTTTTCTTCTTTTTGTTCGCGGACTTATTCGCGGTTCCCTTGCCCCCCAACGCTTTCGTAATGTTTTTCGTGTTCAAGGTATTCCCTATGTCTGGCATGTGTGACGGTCTCCTCGTGATTGGTGATGGGCTCGACAACGTGCCACCGAGACGAAATATCTTTCCGTTCTCTTCCTCCACGTCTCCGATCATGCTGTGAAGTTGAAATGTGACAGCTTCGTCGTGATACATTTTTATACTTGGGTCCTCTGTGAATTTCCCCATACCGCTGGTGTCTCTTGTTGGAAGCCGGATTAGAATCGTGTAAACCTGTTAGATGAAACGTTTTTATGGATTAGAAGTGTATAGTTTAAGATTTGCCTGCACATGTGAGTATAGTCGATATAGCGAGGTCGTAAAATCGGTCAGACGTCAAAGTAAGCATGTTTTTAGCTGCAGGGACACGAAAATTGGCAGAAATACGAGCAGATAAGTACTTGGAACCGTGGTCAGGACCGTAGGAAGAATTGTTGTATCCAGCGAAAGTCAAAGCGATTCTAATATATTTACTGAAAACTACATGCAGCTAGGACAAATTAGGGTCTTTCCCTCTGGGGGAAGTCGGTTACAGGTAAAGGTCTTATCGAGATCTTGAACGTCTTAATTTACCTGCGAGTGTTACGTACAGGTAGGAAATGCAAAAAGGTTGTGTGGCTGCGGACACAGAAAGGAATTACAAATATTTCAGATGGTAATTAATATTGACGTATTTTCCACTCGTTTACTGTTGGAACCCTCAAACAGCCCGCAACGCACGGCCCTGAATGCCAATTCTTGAGAGTTTAATTTCCGACCTCGCTGTATCGTGGCTCTGACTATACTTACTGTGCAGATATCAGAAGTTAGCTCTAGCGGAAGAAATGTGGATCTGATTGGTTATATGTAGTGTAACAGGCCCAAAGTTAGGGCACACGTATTCTTATTATTGATTAGAACGATCACATCTACAAATCGGATGTAGCATCACGTGACGAAGAGAGCGAACGGGGCATATCGAGACCAAGTGGATGGTTATGACAAGGTTGTGATTACTTCAATTCTGATCGACGAAATCTGACAGAACTTTCCGAACGACTTAACCCTCGCACTACCAGGAGGGATACTTTGTGCCCACCATGTCGTATTTTATGTATTTCTTTTACTAATCAGTTCGGGAAAAATTCTGAAGAAATTAATTATTGTTTAATATGGTGTTCTTAAGCATATAGTTTCTGTGTAATTTCATTCAATCCTTGACCAAGTTTTCTCGACATCAAAGATGCTTATTTATCGTTAATGTATTATTCGGTCAACGTTAAGATGGCAAGTAAAATTAGTTCTTCAGGTGAGCACAAAAATCCTTGGTAGTTAAAGAATACCTTGGTAGTGCGAGGGTTTTTAGTAGACCGTGCCGTCTCGTTGGCCATCTTCTCATCTATGCGCGGTACACATCAATCTGAATGTCTTCTGTATTTTTTCTTCCGTATTTTCGAAGTTTTATTTTCAATACAGAAGTTTAGAATTGTATTAGAAATACGAGGTTTGATAAAAAAAAAAATACCTGGGCTGTACGTGTAATTCAATATCTCGTAAGTGAAGTGAAAAATTGATGATACAATATCAATCGTTTGCTGGTGAAACGCACGAAGTCTGAATATGCATTGTTTTTCAGAAATTGAATTTGAAGTTTTTCGTTTTGTGTGATATAGATCTAGAATAAATATAAAGTATGTAATTTTTATTCCTTATAAGGTTAAAATGAGAATTTTTTGTATTACATAGGAAAACCGCGAAGTGATAATCACCGATTCTGATAAAACTTTGATATATACTAGTTCTAAAAAAAAAAAATGTTTCACGCGTAATTGTCTTATATCGGCAAAAGTGAATAGGTGAAAATCGTTGTCAAAGTTAGAGATAGTCAATTTATTTAGTTTAATATCTCGGAAACTATTGGAGATAGAGTAATAGTGTAAATTGACGAATGTTGTATCTTTCAGCAACAAATTCGACAAACAAAAGATTATAAATAATTTTGTATTTTGCAAATTTTGCCGTTGAAAAATACAAAACTCGTCAATTTTCACCATTATGTAGATCTAATACCATGTTACATGGTACTAATTGCGTTCAGTATCCTCATCTTTGAGGACGATTTTCACCCTTCCAATGTGAACGATTGTCGATATAAAAAAATACACGTCGCATATTTTTTTCAGAGCTACTACACTACCGGCCAAAAGTTTGGAATCACTGAACATTGCAATTTACACAAAAATTTCCAGAAAAAAGTCAGCGACTTTGAGAATTTTTTATCGTTCGAATCAATTGATATGAGATAAATTGATAAATATAGAATCGAGATAAACTTAAAATCTATAAAAAATTAGCAGCAGATTTAATATTGATGAAAAGTAGGAGGTGATTCGAAACTTTTGGTCGGTAGTGTATATATCAATGTGTCATCAAAATCGATGACTATTACTTCGGGATGTTCCCTTGTTAGTGTGTTTTACGAGTGTACCCACAATGTGATGCAGTAACCATTGGTGCTTCAACTGACGTTGCGATTTTTATCAAAACGGATATTCCTTTTGAGATTTACAGTGGTTTTTCGTAACCCGATTTTCTTTACTTTTGCGATTTTTCAAATGGAACTGGTTGAAGTGCAGTTTCAATTTCGAATGAAAAGCAGTCACCTTTATTTCGCTTGACTTTGTGTAACTTATCGTCAGTTTCTGAAACTGAAGAGTTCATTAAAAGAACGCACTGTTCAAACGATTGTAGAGGTACAAAGGGAAATTCGGTGGCTGATCTGAAAGCAATTTCTAAAAATGCCTACAAAGGGTGTTTTCAGAAGTGTAAAAGATGTGTAACTGTTACAGAGGACCATTTTAATTCGGAATAATTTTTTATCGATAAAACTTTATGACGCTAGTCCGGGCATTTTTTCTTATCAAACCTCATACGTTAAAATTAATGGTAATCCGGCTACAAACATTCTACAAAGAATATTGTACGACTAATATCTGCTTATTCTTCGAAATTTGTTTAAAGAATACTGTTGTTACTCAAAGAAACAGTGTAAATATTTTCTGCAAAACATGAATGAAAATATAGGAGAATTAATTAATAAGTTAAGGTGTGTGAAACTTGCTGATACACGTAATTAAGTAACAAAAATTTCGATAATTACGGTTTACTTCCTTGTTAAACACATTTTGTTTCTGAGAGACCGGTTTATTTTTGTACTTATCACAAAATATCGATAGCCAAAGAATCACGTGAGTGAAACGAGCAAAAGATAGTTAAGGAAAAAGATACTGTACTTTAAACAGAAGTTAAATGTCCAAGTAGATAATAAAAGGAGGAGCTTAAGTTAATTTATAAAAAAGTAACTTCTTTATGCTATTTCAAAGTATAAAAATAAACATTTTGTTAACGTTTCCAAGGTTCCAGTTGTAAGAAATAATTTCCTATTTTTGCAAAATTTCATTGAAATCGGGAATTTCAGATCGGAAACCTTTTCTTTTTCGTCACTTACACTGACGAATGTGTGCATTTGTTGATATTGTCAAGTGTGTATGCAACGAGTTAATAATATTATTATGCTAATACATATAAGTTTTAGCAACGGGTGACAGACAAAAACAACTTCCTTGTACAGGTATTAATTTGATTAACAGATGAAAAATTTAGCTCACGACTCCCTTAATAAGTTGTCCTAAGATTGTTAAGAAAATTCAAAGATATTAATGATATTAAAAGATATTAAACAACAATAGGTAACACGTGATAAGAGGTATTAATAGCTTAATTAAAAAAAAAAAAGAAAACATTCAATTACAGTATTAAAATATGTAGAACCTAAGAGAAAAACATGTCATGGTTACATTTTACGCGAGATAGTACAAGCTTTTCTTTCTATAATTTTTCGTGTGACAAAAAAGAAAAAAAGTTGCATATTTCTAAGAAAGTTTCTAGGATTTCCTGTATTACCAACGGGACAGTTACGACTCATGCAGAATATTGAAGAAAAAACGTGCAACACAGCGTTAGAATGTTAAACGAATGCAAACATACAGAATCACTAGAGATGCTTTTCGTTGACAATTCGCTGGCTTTTCCAGATTTTTTGTATTCATGGTTGTCAGCGATGCTGACGGTTTTCTCAACGGTTAGAGTAGTAGGGTGAATCCCGCTTAGAGAGGCAGATCCAGAGACCGTACAGGTGAGGGGAGTTTCTGCTGATAACGGCGTAGTAGCTTCATCAAAGCCATGACCTGTGCGACTACTCTCAGCGCCTTCGATGTCGTCCTCGTCGTCGTCCTCGCGACCACTGTGCCACCACGCGATACACCACATTTTGAGCCACATCCAGGAGAATGGTCTGTGCTTCTGAAAATTTCGACAGTTAGGTCTAATTTGCTGAGAAAGAAACGAGAAGTGATTCCTGTTAAGGGAATGGTACACCATCCTGAAGCTTCTAAAAATAGGTAAAAGTTTGAGAATTTTTTTTTTCGTAGGCAATTACTAAATGAAGTTTCAATTTTTTTTTTTTTTACATATAAATGTAACTGTTTCTGATGTGCTCGTGTTTTCGTTGCAATCAACCTTTTCGAGCCTTGTCGATTTTTGCACGTGGAGTGTCAACTAAGTCTAATGGTTCGTTTTTCTCCGTGATTAGGAGGACAAAACACCTATTACTAATGATCTAGACTTCTTAAAGGAGCGACTCGTGGCGTGGTCAGATGACTTCTATCGTTCCCTTCCGCGAAAGGTTCCACGACACCTCGGTGCGAGGACGCATCGCTCTGAGGCCCTTGGATAGGTTGAGTACATTTTTCGATAGTGGTGGGATAGGTGGGAAAAACTACACGAAAATACCACCCCCCAGACCATAGGTCACTCTCAGGTACCAAGCGTACCCTTGAGTGACGCACGCGGGAATTCCGAGTGCCTCGAACAATGGCCGTAGCAGACGATAACGTTAAGACGCGCTTCGGCTCTGGTGACCATATGAATGCAAAAATGTACAAGTAAAAAGGGGGCGAAGATTCTAAGTCGAAAACAAGGCAATAAAAGGTGAAAGCAAGTTCTTAGATTGAAAGACTACGATTGCCGTGGCGTCATAAAATTACCGCTGCTACGAAAACGAGCGAAGGCGAAAAATATATACAATAGAACTACATACTAAGAAATCTAAGGGTCGGGCGGCTGACATACCTGTCGAGGATTAAACAGTAACTTTCAGATGTTTTTTCCAATTTTTAAAAAGTAACAAGAGATTTCGCAATTAGCAAGGAGCTCTTCCATTTTGGAACATTTTTAGTTGTTAAAAATTGGAGAAAAAAGCTGAAAATTTAATTTATATCCCCTGAAGAATAGAAACTTTTCATTTAGTAATTAGCTATGTAAAAAATTCTACCACTTTACTTACAGTTAGACTTCTCAGGGTGGTGTACCTCCTTAAGGGAGGAAAGGTGTTCAGGTAAAAAATGAAATATCCAAAATCACCCTTTGAAACCATTTAAATTACGTGTAAAAATTTTCTCGTACCACGAGAATAAATCTGACATTCTTTGTACAAATTAAATCAATCCAAAGTAATACAATTAGAAAAAATATATAGTTAAGAAGTTATTGATAATACGTTGCTCTTCCTTTTCGACGAATAACTTCGTCACAGTTGCTAGCATTGATTCAATAAAATAACCACACCATACCACGGGAACACTATTCTATTTTCTTCATGAATAACGTCAGAATTCTGTTTCCAACAATGATCTAATTTGTATTAAATGCTAGATAAAGTATATTTAAAACCGTACATACGTTCATACGTATAACACGGTAACATTACTTTTACACTGATCATTTGAAACTCTTACCGTTTTGTATTCAGGATAATGTTTCTCGAGATAAGAGACTGCGATATGCGTCGCGTTCATGTCTTCGACACCTGTGCTCGATTCGCTCCTAGGCCTCCTACAGTCATCCATGTCCAACGCTTCATCGCTAATTACAGGCAAACGAAGCAAAGTATATACATACAATGAAACAACTGACATCGATTCAGTTCGTCTTATTTAATTTTATAATTTTCCCCTTTTGCAACATTGTGCTTTTTTGCGCGACACTGTGTCCCACACCTCGATCAATTTGCAACCTCAACTCACACGGGAACAAAGGCTCCGCGCAAACAAAACGTCATTATACATTCTCAACATATTTCTCCACCCCTATGAATAACCCCTCTACTAGTTTAGTTTTTATTTGTTATCTTAGGTGCTTGTACATATGACATAGTTAATTTTAGATATAATATTGTTCTTAAGTTTTAGGTTGCGTTACCTGTCCAGGGACATTTGGCGCATATCCTGTGTTCCTTTTTTTTTCGTTTTTCAGAGCTTATTGCGTAGATAATGAGAATTGAGCTGTAGCGATTAGGTGAAATTTACAACAAAAACCTATCACTTGTCTACGCCAACTATTCCCTCTCTGTTCTCCCTTGTCGGTTTCCTATTAGGGTATGGAAGCCCCGGTACTACATATAGCATAGAAAAATCGAGGAATTAACCTAGAGTTACTCCGTTTACTGGCGTCCTGTTTTCCAGCTTGCAGGTATGGAAGATCTTTCTGTCGTTTCTTGGTCTCCCTCCATATTCGCCAATAAAGAATGATCATCACGGTAACAGGCACGTAAAATGCGGCAATTGCGGTACCAAATGTGATGTAATGATTTGTCTCGATGAACTGGATGTAGCAGGCGTTGTTGGGCACTGTTCTTTGGCCTTCGATGTACGGCCAAGCGTAGATCCACGGTGGCCATAGAACCAACGAAATTCCCCATGCGCATGCTGCAAAATATTCTTCACTTATTTCGTTATATTCTTGCCTCGTTAGACTTTACATTCGAGACAAACGAAGCGTGTAAAGTGTAACAGTTTGCGTAAGTATACTTCGTTGATTGAAGATTGGATATGAAAAAGACTGTAAGCAAGTGAATAACAGAAATGTCAAGAAAAACAATTTTTTTCCTTACCAAGATGTTATTTATTAATTTCATGATTTTTTACACGTACCACACAACTTTATACAAGCTTACAATATCTTTATTTCAACATCTGCAAGTGTTATTGATTAACAAAAGAAAAAAAAGTTTCATATTACAAGAAAACATGAAAGTCCAATGGCACCGGCTACCATTTTTATGTCCAATCTTCGATTGTCATCCGGTTAGTGAAACTTTTGGTACAGTAGAAAATTCACACTTCTGATAGCCAACTGTGACTAAAAGTTGCGTTTCTCACATACGCGAGAATTAGAATTTTCTTCGAAAACCTTTCCACGCGATGTAGATGTTTGGAAAATTATACAAACGAGAGATTTGGCCTAGCTTCGTTGGGATATTATTAGAAGCAACCTCAGTGAACAGTCGGATTCATCTAAGCGATTCTATCGAATGAGTGAAGCGTCGCAGAACTGACTTTCTATTTCCTGTTGAATATTCAATTCACAATATAATACGCGAGATTGATATACTTAGTTATTCTACAAGGTGGATCGCAAAGTGGTCCATAAAGTGTTACAAATTATTTTCTCAAGGGAAAAGAGAAATTTTCTCGCAGCGTTTCAAGTTTTCTTACAACTTTTTCTCAGATGTAGCAAAAATATTGCTGTCGTATCTCTAAAAAAAAAAAGAAAAAAAAATGGTGAAGGCACACTTTCCATATTTTTCTGAAGAATGACACACGAATTTTTGCAAATTTGGGAAGTTCTTTGTACAACGAAAAATTCTGTTTCTTTCCCTGGGTAGGTACGTTTCTAACTATAATAATTTCAAGGAGAAAGTATGTCTATAGTAGATAATTCAGATTCAGAAATTCTTCACCGATACGAGAAAATTCGTTATATTCATCATAAATCTAGCTGTATCTACTCCATTAAGCAGCAATTTTTTATTCAGTGGTGACTGACAACAGTTGCATAGAAGTAGTTGTGCGTTTTGCTTCTGGCGACAACTGATGCTAGCAATTAATCCAGTTTCTAACATTAAACTGTATTCACGTCCATTGAGTCCTGTCTTATAACAAGAATTAAGGTTTAACGTTCTAAAACACGACATAGACACTTCGACCGTCTCCTTTGATCCTATTGTGACTGAAAAGCTCGCATAATTGATAAAGCTTTAGGAAGGCATGGCTTCCACCGGTAAGAAGTTACGAGACTATAATACCCTAAGACTGAATAGCAAGTTGCACATTGTACAAATGCGTAGATCGGGTATATCACAGTGTTTGGTTACGCTAACTAAGAACCGATCTCTATCTGAACTTTCTGTCGGCAATAAGTAAGTTTAAATTATAGATATTGATCATTACTCTGATCAACCGTACTCGTGAGAAATATTCGAGGTGTTATTCGTCGTGGCGAAACAGAATAATGTATTAGCTTTCGCGGCGGAAGATCAAACATGTTAATATTCGTAAGAAACGATGAAACGTGCTTCTTTACGATGACACGTGCTGCTCTTCGTAAGGCAAATGACACTATTATAATTTAAGCCGTGAACCTAGTGTCTTGTTATCGAACATGTATGTATGCGTTACTAAGGACAAACTTAACGTATAACATGTAATCATTAGAAAATAATGAGAAAAAAATAATTTTGTTAATGCTGTTAATGCTGCTGTTGGCGCCTATAGACGCTCAGTGATACTATCAGCGCTCTTCGTATTCATATTCCATTTTTTATATTTACATATTGCTTATTTTGCAAGCATAAAGTACAAAATATTCAACGAAATATGTAGTATGACTATTAATGCCATAACTCAGTGGTACACAGCCAGAGCTTCACTTTCGAGACTGCCAGCAGTCAAAGGTTTGATAGAAACTTCTATTGAAAAATAGCAATATATTCTAAATCCTGTGAAGAATTTTATTTTACGCCATTCAAACCTGAAGCAGAGTGAACGATTGGCCATTGACATGGTCAAATAGCTTTCAGAATAATAGCCGCAAGGGCTTGTTGTAATGGGACGTTAACTTCCGATGATAACGGTATTGAAAGATATACCGAACACCAATGAATGTAAGAAAAAAAAAAGCAAGTAGATAGTTGAACAACTTTGCTAGAGGATTTGGAATAGCGACGTAGCTGCGCTTATGGGATTTTACATGTGAAACTTTAGGGCCCTGGGGGCACGTTTCCCCGTTATCCGATCGAGCTGATCTTTTACACACATTATTCTTTTTCCTGGATTGGAACCATTTTTCGGGGGTGAGATTAAAAAAATTCGAAGAAACTTTTTCGCCATCTGTAGTCAAAGACCCACGCTGATATACAGAGTGTCCTAAAAATTAGTCCCATATTTTATTTTTAAGTAACTTCTAAAAAACATGAAAGAATGTCAATTTTTTCTATGTATATTATCTATTGAAGCTTGGGAGTTAAACGTGGAAAACGATATCGCCTAAATAGCTTCTCTTATTCGCGACACAAATTCGAGCTGTTTGGAGTACATTTTGCATGACATTTCTGAAGATAACCGCGTGAGTGCTGTTAATATTTTGACGAATATTCTCTTTTCTCTCTCACATTTTTAACCAGCTCTCAGTAAGAAGTTTATCGTGATTAAAAAAAGGAGTCACAAAATATAAGTGCAAATGTAATACCTACTATACAAACATTAACACTAGACTTACCGACCGGGTCAAAAACGAGCCATTAGCATCTTTCGAAAAAACGTGAATGTTCAATGTACTAACTTTCCGAATTTAGTTTCTTCGTGTGTGCTCCTTATTTGTATCGATATGAATCGAATTTTCCAATCACGGTTTACTCACGTAAAAGTTCACCTTTGGAAAGTCGCTAATGGGTGATTTTGACTCGGCTGGTAGTTCCAGTGTTAAACGATGGGTCTGAACTGGAAAATATAAGATTAGCTTACCGATCATAATGGCTGCCTTAGAAGTAGTCCTCTTGGCACGGTAAGTGAGCGGCCTCGTCACAGAGAAGTATCTGTCGAAGCTAATAATGAGAAGATTCAAAACTGATGCGTTGCTGGCCAAGTAATCTAACGCTAGCCAAAGGTCGCAGATGTGCGGTCCCAAAGGCCAGTTCCCGAGCACAGTGTAAACTGTGAACAGGGGCATGGAAATTAGACCGATCGCGAAGTCAGCAACAGCCAGGCTGAACAGGAAATAGTTCGAGATCGTTTGTAGCTGTTTGTCGATCTTGAATGAGATCATCACCATGCTATTACCAACGACGGTTGTCAAACTGAGAATAACGGCAATGATAACGATCATCACACGCTCCCATATCCCATACGAGTGTGGTTCTCCGCCACAATCGAGACCATTGCTCACATTGTAACTCTCGTTTCCGGAAATGTCCACGGCTGAAGTCACATTCATGTCTGGAGAGTTCGCTACCGCCGAAAAATACTTTGTGCGTTCTGAATAACGGAGTCTTCTCTTCGTAGTAATTTGTAAACAAAGAAATTTCCTCTCCCTTCGTTCTTTCTTCCTTTTCTTTCTTTCTCTATTTTTACATACGCTACGCTTTCTCCTACTATTACGATACAAATTTCCTTCTCTTCTGATTTTTCTTAGCTCTCGCTCATCTCCACTTCGAACACACCTTCTTGAACCGTGTCTGTGTTTTTGTGTCGTTAAAATTTTTTCTCCTATGTTAAAATTACTTTCCGTACTCTCTCTATCTCTCTCTCTTTCTGTCCGGCAACGTTCGCCCTTTCGTTCGGTACAAATTGTCCTCTCCTTTTGTAATTCCTTTGTTCTCCTACTTAAAGCAATTTATTTTACATATAAAATCGTCTTATTTACCAACTAGTTTATCGTTTAGAATTCTTTTAAGGGTATCTCCTTTCTGTTCAAACTCGCTCCTCCCCGCCTCAACTCATTTTCGTTCGGCTTTTCGTCTTTGTGCTCGTGTCTAATGTATTTCGCGTTCGTTCTCGTCGAAACAATACCTCTAGGCTTCGTTTCTCCATTTGCATTTCTCTCTTCGAGTTTTCCAGCTATCTATTCTTACGCCTTAATGCAAATACACCCCTTTCCGTCTATTTCCCCCCCTCTCCCTCACAGTGTTTCTCTCTTTCGAGCTATTATTCCTCCCCTATGTGTGAGCGTGTGTGTGTGTCTATGTGGTTGTCTGTTAACGTATTTAGAAATATTTCCTTTGCCGGTATGCGTTTCACATGTCACGTGTCCAGCCAGAACATCCTTCTTCGAAATCCGGTCTCTCTGCAAGCTCTTCCTCTCTCCCTTTGCATGCAAGCGAACAAAGGTGATACGCGCGTACAACCTCGTACAACAACGCAAATCCCTCTTCCGGCGATTCTTTCGACACTCTATTCCCAAACTTTACGGAACGAAGGGATGCGTCAACTGCATACCCTCGTCAGCGTTCGTGTTGATGGTGCGCGATCTGCGAACAGACGTTCGTCATTAGTCCCTGTTCTCAACATAGTAGATATTCCTCGTTTTACAACAGACGTGCGATAAATTCGATAGAATTCGTTGCATCTATGCGAGATACACTGCCGTTCATAAGTTGCGTCTCGGAGGGAAGTACGGAGTAGGAGGTTCCAGAACTGTCCAATTAAAGAAGGGGGGCGGTTCCCTCGTGCGTAACGCCCACAGGCCATACACTTCGTCGTGTACAAGGGACCTGCAGAACGTCGCACAGAGACCCACCTTTTCGCGGCATGTAGGCTTACAATAAGTCAATTGAAAAAGTTGGTGCTGTCTTTCAGCCAGACCCAAGTACACTCGAGAAAATATGCTATCCATAGCAAAGTACACTTCCTCAAAAATGGCACTGTCTCTTGTCGACTGCAGCATAAGCCTAAATACGTGGCCCTAACGCGCTATTAGGATCTTATTTTTATGTCGGTGCCTTATATAGAAACAGATATTCAGAACTCGTTGTGCTGCAAAATTTCAACGTCCGTTCCAATAAATTTGTTCCAATAAAATTTCCCTGCCCGTACGATTAATAGTTTCAACGATGAAGCTTCACTTAAGTTAAGCAGTTGAAAATTGTTAACTTTCGTTAATAACATTTCTTTAATTACGGAGTTCTCAGGCAAAATGGTGCACGACTTTGGTGTTCAGAATCATTACCCGAATCAACAGGTAAACTCCTGTTCATCCATGGCAACCGCTTTTGTACTAACATTTGCGATACGTTAGAAATTGCAATTGTAATGTGAATATTAGTAGACGAACTACGATACACGATTGTACTCCTAATATTCCATTTCAAGTAATAAAATAATTTTTAAATGTCACAACAAGAAAATCTGCATATTTTTTCCAAATTTATGGGATGCATATCTAACATCTCAGTTGCTAAAATTTTATAGAAACATAAGCTACGTCGGTATTGTTTCTCATTACATCATAGCAATTAAATAATATTGTGACGTGTACTCCTCGTGTACAGGGTGTAAAAAAAAGTAATTATCGTTGTTTTAAGGGGTGAAAAATGAAGAAAAGAAAAAATTGTTTACAGCAATGAAAATTAATGTTGAATTTCTTATTCTGTTCAACAAGAAGAGAGAAAGTACAGAATAAGAAATTCAACATTAATATTCATTGCTGTAAACAATTTTCTTTACAAATGTTTACCGATCCAGGGTTGTAGGTCCACCCTTTAAAGCCACGACAATTACTTTTTGGACACGCTGTACGTGTAAACGTGTGGTCCAAACATGTTAGGATAGAACTATTGTTGTACCCTTACTTGAAACCTAGATATACATATGTACATGTATAAATTGAAGCAAAAAGAAGAATCATGTCGCTTTACTGATAAGTTAATATCGTATTAATGTATTGATTGATATTTATTACCAGCCAAGTGTCCCATACCAGTATCCAGGCTGCCATTGCCACCATCGATGTCAATATGACCTGGGATGTGCGAGCAAGCATACTCAGACACGCCGCAATGTATAGCCAAACGGAGGGAAATCATTTTGAACATTTATGGTGATCCTGTAAAAATGATAAATGTTAAGGCAATAGTGTTTAACACGGGCGTGGTAAAAGACTACCTTTGAGTTTACGATTTTTTAGCTTATTGTTAGAATGTATTTAGAGGATTAAAATATGTCCTGACGAGAGAAGTTGAAATTTATAGCCAGGAGATTTTAGAAATTCGCTTATCACAACCTCGATAGCACGAAGATGTGGTATAAAGTGGGAATTTCCAAAGGGACTTTTACCTATTAGTTGTAACGGACAGAAGACTGAATGATCAAAACTTGGAGGAAATTTTGCATTGTTAAAATATCCGTTACTTCTTCATTGCGAGACATCGTCACTCCTTCCTAAGAAAAGGCACGCTGAGGGCGCAAAGGAAGGGTGCTCGCGATGTCCCTTAGGCACGCTGATTGGCGATTAAGAATTCTTAGGAATGACATGCAAAAAATAAGAAGTGAAAGGATCGTCAGTGGCTATTAGAAAAGAGTTACAAAAGTCAGTCAGTCAGAAACAAGCTGTGAGTCAGAAAACAACAGTGAAACAGCTTCAGAACACCTGGCATCCAGGCTGGGCATTACTTACAAGGGACATCATCACGATTTTGATCAAATTTTGCATCTTTCCCAAATTTCATTTACATCAAGTTGTCCTTTGTGAAGAAGCAAACAGAATTAGTATTTAACATTTTTCTCTGCACTTCGTTCAATTTAAGAATAACCTCGCTCTCGGACCGATTCTCGTCCGTTCTGCGTATAGACAGAGAGCGTAGCAGAGGGTAAGACGGAGAAAAACGTAGGCGGTTAAGTGGGGGTTTGGACGTTCTAGCCCTGCCTTAGGCACGTCCCACGCGCGAAACGAGGTTATTCTTAAATTGAACGAAGTGTACGTTAATTCATTTTCGTGGTATTCCAATTAATAGTTTTCTTGTCCCCATGTTTCGAGGGTGATTTCACCCCTTAAACGTGAATATTAGCGGCTAAAAAAATATACGGTATTTTCGGATTCTCTAGCTGTGTGCAAAATTTCATCAAAATTGGCGTACATCAGTTAGGTGATATTCCTTGTTAGTGAAATTAGCACTCAGGCTAATCAAATAGGCACTCAGGCGAACAATAAGCATTCAGACCTGATTCATAGCTGGTTCATTGTTAAGTTTGCGTATAAATTTAATAAAGCACAAACTAGAGCGAGAAATCAATTTTTTCGAAGACAATTTGGGTGGTCATTTGAGAGGGACAAATCGGACCTCGCTACTGTGCAATACTCGAGGACTAAGACTGCACCTCGGTAATCCTCACGATCCCATCAATAAGTGTTACAACTCGAAGTAAAGTTTTCCAACTTAAATTACCTGTTTTACATCGTGAAACGTCGTCCCAATGTTGTAACTAGTTTTCAACGACGACGCTTAATACTACCCCTGGCAAAAAGTTTTACTATCATACATTCGATCAAACATTTTCAATAAAAACTTTCATATTTTGCAACTGTAAAATGTTATTATACACACTTAAAGAGGAAAGAAAATGTTACGCGGAAAGCTTCGATGCCACAACGTATCGAAGCAGTTATACACGCATACTTACACGCACATATGTACGTGGAAGGATAACAGAATATTAGTAAAATATTATTTCTTCACAAACGTAAGTTAACAAATTCGATCAACTACTTTTTTCCAGGTAACATTTTCTTTTCTTCCTCTTCTTTTTTTTTTGATAACAAACGTTTTTTTGTTATTGTTTACCTGATACCAAGTCAGCCTTGCTTTCTTCTCTGTTTTGAAAATATATAATGACATTTTACAGTACTAAAATATCAATGTTTTTAGTTAGTTTCGTCTTACTGTGTTCGATCAATGGTCTCTTCCTACGTATTCTGTATCATAACTGCACATCCATTACTATTCCCTTCCCATTTCGTATTATTGTTACAACTTTTTAATAAAGCTCCAAACGACCTATATTTATACAAAATTTTCTCCTTTCTTATCTCCATAAAACATACCGACAAAGTTCGATCGGGAAAAACTGGGACACTCTGTAGACCAACTCCATGGCAAAACTTTTTGCTTACGGTAAAAATAATTAAAACAATGTTTACGGGTAAATTTTCAAGCTGCGTTATTTATTATTGCTTGTTCCTTATTTTACATCATAAATTATAGTCTTTCTGATTTCTAGATAATACACATTACCACTGTTATGGTTTCAAGGATTTCTTCTAATACTGAAACGAAGAACTTTGTTCAAGTGTCTCGAGTCTTAAAAAAAAAGTAAAAATGTTTCTACTTTTCACTTGACAATTGAAATTTTCAAATTTTCACAAGTTTTACAGCGCACCTGGACGTCGCAACAACGAACAGCCCGTATAATGTGAGCAATAGTACGATTCTACTAGTTTCT